GTAAGGGCGAGCAATCGTGCAGCTTGAACGACCACCCCAAGTGAACAAAAAATTTGATTGTTCCACCTTCTTACCTTCTGGAACCTTCTTTCTTCTCTCCTCCTCATCTACACCCCTCGCTATCCGCATTGCATGCTGGTGACTCATCGCCTTCCATGCTACAACTTTGTGCAGCCCCTTTCTCTCACTCTCTTTGAACTCAGTTGCAATACTGCGCAAGCTATGCGTGAAGACTTCCGCGCCAAACAGGCTTGACGTGCTCAAGGAAGGGGCGAAATGACGGTGTGGGGTGGATTAGTGCTAGACTTGGGGTAAGGCCGGCGGAGGGATTAAGAAGTGGTGAATAGGGGAATGTCGCCAGCGACAGGGCCTTGTGGCTATGGCTGGCTTGCCTTCAGTCGGCTATGGTGGATGTGCACGCGGAGTGCCAACATTGTTGTGATTTTTTAATAGAGAGGGACTCACTTCTTCTCCATCGTTGCTTTGTCCATTGGTTGTGTGTGCTAAAGACTAAGTCTGGATACTCAGTCGTGTGCACGGCTATGGTTGTGGCTGTCTATGGATGTTGAATGCTTCGCTGTCAGAAAGTCTATGGATGTATGAGTATTGAAGGTGTGTGGTGTCTTCGTCTTGTTGAGCGCATGAGTGCGCAAAAGGTAGTTGTATGAGGGGTTGTCTGCTTGAGTGCATGAGTGTGCTGATACACTCTTTCCCCTCCTGACTAATTGCCAATCACCTCGTCTGGAGCGCGTGCAAGATCGTCAGTGGCCTCCTTCCCCCTTTCCCTCCCAGCGCAAGTGCGACGTGTCAATGTCTTCGTTCACCCGGCATATGCGCAGGCCACCAGGGACATCAGGTGCATGGATTTATTCGTTCCACCCGATCACTCTGCCGCTGGCCATCGCCGTCTATCAAGGTGACAATCGGTTGGAGTTAAGACGGTTAGCAGCTTGTGTTTATCTAGCAGGATTGCGCGCAGTGGGACAAGTTGAGAGTTGTATGGAGGTGATGTTTGCCACCCTGAATATAACTGTCGGTAACTGCCTGTGCTCGAGCCTTACATCCATCCGCCATAGCGACCTCCCTCCCTTTCCGATCGCAGACAAGGATGGCCTTACTGTGATGCGGACGTGAGGAGGACGCTATTGCGGGCCGATCCGGTTCACATGTATAACCCGTCGAAAGCATGCCACAAAGGGGAATTGGGGTTTGTTTTGATAGATCGGAAGCCGCGGCATAAATTCTGCAGATGAAGTTGGAATCGCACATTGCGGAATCTCTACCGTCGGGAGCGGAGGCCATAGCTTTGGTTGGATCAGGCCGTAACAAAACAGCGCAGAAGGACGTATATATGCGATACGACCCAACCAAGGAGGCGGGCATGAGACGGCACACCGATGCCCAACTGCTGAATCTACCAACAATCAAAATTGAACATAACGACACCTGGACGGCACAGGATGTTCAAAGATGTTTATGTTCTCTCCTTCGACAAGGCGTGGACTGGGACTGGGATCATATGCCATGGATCCGGCTGTAAGGTAATAACACACAGGAATAAACAATAAACAGCGCAAGCAAGGTAGATCCTGTTAGGGCGGTGTACGACAAGGATCGCATTTGGAACCAATGCAGGAGGGTAGTTGATCTAGACCTACGCTCTCTGAATGTGAACGGCTTAGCCTTCTGCAAACTAGAGAAACAAAATGCAATCTGGCATTTGATGAAGGGAGTGAGGGGTAGAAAGTGGCCAGATATAGTCTGCGTCCAGAAAACTCACCTGATGGACACCCCGGAGCACAATCACATCCACAAGATGATCTGGCCGTACAAGGTCTTCAGTGCCCACGCCCCGAAGCCCCGAAGTGTTGGGGTGGCCATCTGGGTTCCCCCCCAATTCCAGGGCAGACCCGGTCCACTGGGTGATGGACCGGAAGGGAGGTAGGTGGGTATCTGTCTTGGTTACACTAGAAGTCGTACGTATATTGTGTATATACGCTCCCAACACAGTGAATGAGAGAAGGACCTTCTTCAAGGATATTAAAGCGCAAATACCGGAAGGGGTTCCGATCATTATAGCAGGAGATTGCAATGCTGCCCCAGACCGATGGCAGGATAGATGGCGGATACCCTCCCTAGTCCCAGTGATATCGAGGAGGATGAGCAGATGATAAACGATTTGTGCCTATCACTCAAAGTATTTGACTCCTTCCAAAAACTGAACCCAGATACCAGACACTATTCATGTTTACGGAACACAGGCACTGAAAGCCAGGCGAGATCCAGAATCGACTTGATTCTCATCTCCGAAGACATGGAAGGACCCCTGCTTCTGGCAGCAATCTTGCCTGCAAGCCCATACCAGGGACTTAATCACAAAATGTGCACGATCAGTCTGCCCTTTCGGAAGAAACCCGACCGGGGACCGGGCTTTTACAAACTTTATACCTGTATCCTCCAACAGAAAACCTTTCAAAGTTATATCACGGACTGCTGCTTCGTTGTTCCACTAACGACTAACATGCAGTAAAAAAATAAAATAAAAGAGAAACTCACGATAGATTGGTTATTTCATCAATTGCACGGTGACCTTCCTTTTATTTATTTTTTATTTTATTTTTTTAGCTTCCGTCCAGTGCCAGCGATCATCACGATTTAGCGATGTCATTATGAACGGAAAGATGGCCAGCAAACATTAAAAAAATGACAATGAAAGTGCGTGGATAGGTTCCTTCCCGTTTTCACTGTTTTCTTTTGTTTTCTTAGGTGTCGGCGATGATAACGATGGCGCGATTCCTAAGATCGAATGAAGGGCCGCATACATAAGAAGACGTGGACGAGAATGCGATGGCCATTAACGCATGTGTCACATGATAAACCCACATAGAAGAAAAAAAAAAACAGTATTGCGTGAGCAATCGTAAGCATTCAAACACACGTCGTCGACACATAAACATAAATATGAGGAAATCCATTCAATAACACAACAATGTTCAGGAGGCGATCCACTTTTCTCCTAACAATCCACCCTCCAAACGACCCACACAAATGACGGAGGTGTCGTACACAGAGTTAAGATACCCTTTTCTGGAGCACAACTGTAAAGTGTGCTCAAGTCACAAAAAAAAAAAAAAAAAAAAAAAACCGTTCACAACACATCTACTTCGACGCCATCTGCAGACGTTGCCACGCCGTTGGACCACGCACCTTCCCCTCGCTCAACCACCAACACCCATCCCGCCCATACAGTAACGTCTCCAGTTGAAGACGCACAGTTCGTCGTTTCCTGATTCCACGCGCCAATCTTTCGACGATCCACACCACGCTGCTGCCTTACGGACGAACCCACGTGTCAACTGCCCTCATCTCCATCGTCGTCCGCCGCGGGCCCGCTGCCGATCCAGCCGTGTTTTGCGGCTTCCGCTCCATTCTTCAGGGCCGCGTTGTGCCCGAACACCAACCCGCAATCAGAACATTCCGGAATGCAATGCGGGTAATCTTCCAGCGTTAGGTGGGCCTTCCGTAGACGATGCAAGATGAGGTTGGCGGTGTCGATGATGTGTCACCGCCAGTTGAAGATGTAGGACCCCGCCGCTATCATTGTGGGTTTGGCGAGTTTTGGTTGTCATCAAGCTGATCCTGGAGCTCTAGTTGCTGCAGCAGTTGGTAAATTTCCATCAAGCTGATCCCGCTAATGTTTCTAGCTGCTGACAATTTAGAATATTCTTGAGAGTTCTTACCTAGGTAAAAAAGTCCGTTGTTAAACCAATTGACTGCCTGCTGGAAGTGCTGCTTTTGCATGTGCCACCGACTGACTTTAGCAAACGCAGAGAAGTGCAGATGACATGCATGACAGACTTTTGATGTACTCGATAAAAACATGTGTTCTCGAAAAAAGGATAGAAGTCCGATGCACGAAGATGTCCTTACACAAACATCATAAAAAACATATATCGTTGAATTTGAAGAGAAACAACTTTGTAAAGTGCATGCGAAACAGCGGGTTGACGATGTGCTTCGTGCCGCCCCTCACCTCCCGCCTTCCCCCTCCCCCACTTTAACAACAACCACACTACCGTTGCGGTGACTACAACAACAATGAAGCCGCATCACTGCCAATGATCGACGAACTGGACAAGCAATCTACTGTCGACTACAACAACAAACCCCTAAAAACAACCCGTCCACGACGGCAAACTCTTTGAAGCAATTGCGTGTGTACGCGCAAGACGCAAGCGCTGTGAATCGACGACGGTTGAACACGACGTCAACGAAGAAATCTTCTACGAGAGAAATAGGCAGGCGGTAGGCAGGATCACGTGTTTCATTCGCTCCGCCAGCGCATTGCGGAACATGTGTGCCGCATTCGTCGAAGTCAACATCGTCACTGGCTGTGGGGGATGATGAATCCCCAAGTCCAGTCGGCGCCTCACCCCGTTCTCGTCGACC